TTGTCTCTATCTCACACACTCACACACCTACATATCTATTGGGCCTCGCGGGTGAGTGGATATCGCTCTGAGGTTGTAGCCCTAAGGGCCTGGGTTCGATCTCAAGCGGAGGCGGAAACAAATGGGAAGAGTTTCTTTCTGCGTGATGCGCCTATTCACCTAGCAGTAAATAGGTATCTGGGAGTTAGATAACTGCTAAAGGGTGCTTCATGGGGATCTGTGTGTGTGTGTGCGTGTGTGTGTGTGTGTGTGTGTGTGTGTGTGTGTGTGTGTGTGTGTGTGTGTGTGTGTGTGTGTGTGTGTGTGTACTTACCTAATTGTACTTACATAATTGTGCTTGTGGTGGTTGAGCTCTGGCTCTTTGGTCCCGCCTCTCAACCGTCAATTAACTGGTGTACAGGTTCCTGAGCCTGTTGGGCTCTATCATATCTACACTTGAAGCTGTGTGTGTGTGTGTTTGTGTGTGTGTGTGTGTGTGTGTGTGTGTGTGTGTGTGTGTGTGTGTGTGTGTGTGTGTGTGTGTGTGTGTGTGTGTGTGTGTGTGTGTACTCACCTATTTGTGCTTGCAGGGGTTGAGTTTTGGCTTTTTGGTCCCGCCTCTCAACTGTCAGTGTGTGTGTGTGTGTATGTACGTGCGTGCGTGTCTGTGTGTGTATTTGTATTAGAGAAATATATATGCAGTAGACATAATAGAGGAAAAATACAATGATTAGAAATGCGGGATCAAAGAGCTAATAGCTCGATTCAGCAAGCACAAACAGTAAATACATACAGGATACAACCCACAACAGCTGTATACCTCCCACGTGACTATTTTTGCTAGGTGAACAAGAGCATCAAACACACACAGGGGGCATCAGGTGGAAGGAAATGCTTCACATACGCTTGTACCCGGCAGCGTTGATCAATACCGTGATCTTTGCTTGAGATACAGCTGTGAAGATCGCAATGATGAGAAAAAAAGACTGGAGAGAGAGCTGTAATAGTATGATAGGACACAGAAGTGTGGTCAGTAATGCTAGAATGAGACACTGGAATATGGTCAGTGATAAGAAGACACATGAATGGGACCAATGCTGCTAGGATGAGACACAGATGTGAAGCCAATGATGCAAGAGTGAGAGAGATGTGGAAAAAAAATTATTTGAGGACACACATGTGTGCTAGATCTTACGTTTGTCTGTGGTTTACCTTTCACCAAGGCTAGATCTTTTGTCTAATTGGGCAGTTTCACTTGATAATTAGCAGTGGGGAACACCCAAGGGAGAACAGAAGCACCTACGTAGTTTGAGAGTTAAATCAATATATTTAAAAAGAATGGGAAAGTGTGTTGAAATCAAAATCAGAGAAATCAAAAGTAAAGTTGATTTCTCTGAAATCAACTTTACTATTGGCCTGTTGGCCCATAGTAAAGAGGCTTGCATCACACACTAGGAACTCGTCATCATTATCCAGAACAGCTCCAAGCGCCTGATCAGAGAAACATAGCAGAATAAAACACGAGGTTTGTGAGCAGCAGCAGTGAAAATACTAACCAAAACACTTGAACAGATCCAAGGAAACTATTTAACACTACTCATCCTCTTCCAATTATATTGGGCTGGGAATGGCATTATGTCGACATACACTTTAGAACACTTAACATAATTGGACCAGGCATTCAATAAACTTAATCCGATTACATGGCACTTAAGTGAGGCATGCTCCTTCCCTGTCCGTAATCCTTTCAAATCACCTAATGTAGCCTTCTTTGCTACGCTCATGGGGCATACACACACCCTCACCTGATGGCAATTATCTGTAAACAACGAAAAATTGGTGCAAATGAAATACAAATCCAGTACGTTATCCTTAACAGTATTATCGTCTTTGAGAGTGATAATATTGTCAAAATATCTCATCTTTTGTTATATTCCAGCAGTTCATGAAACACGTTAATTCCTCAGTTAATGAAGATTCGTAACTTCCCTGTTGGCTTCTATCTCAGTATCTCTCTCTCTCCCTCTCTCTCTCTCTCACTCTCTCTCTCTCTAAAAAAAAGTCATATTTTTGCATTAAATAATCCTATAGTGTTGAATAATTTTTCCCATCAAGAGAATGTAATGAACATTTTATATTAAATATTTGTAAATGACCAGGGCACAGGATTAGGTTAGAAATATGGCAAAAATCATTTAATATATGCAAAAAACAAAAACAAAACAACAAATACTCTGGGAGATTAAATGTTCTGACTGTTCATGCTCTGACATGAACATCATTGTTCAACATGATCATCGATGAATATATATGATGTATTATTATAATGATGAGAGCTAAGCTGATCCAAAGTTCCTGTCTGAGCAGCATACTCAGCTGACAAGAAAGGAAAGGTAATTTAGTACATTAGTACATAATGTACAAAAAGTACATTAAGAACTGTATATAAAAATAAGCCAATATTGACTACTAGCAAGTGCTAGAACTATACATGCATCTGCATATACAGATTATTTATATAATATTACATATACTCTTTATGTATACTCTATACCTCCCTCTATACTGCTCATCCATCCCCCTCCCTCTATACTACTCATCAAACAATCTGTCTCAACCACATGGAAGAGTGTTCCTGGATGATGAATGGTTCTCAGTGCGGCCGGAACGACTCGGAAGGGAAAGGAGCTATCAGGAGAAAGCACCAAGCTATCACGACTATATAGCACTGAGAAATGATCAGGATAAGGATTTGGGATGGGACGGGGGGTAAAGGAAGGAATGGTGTCTAACCACCTGGAAGTTCAGGGATGGAACGCCGACCTTCATAAAGCGAGACCGTCGTTCTACCGTCCAGCCCAAGTGATTGGGTCAGAGAAGCTGGAACGGTCCTTAGTTTATGTACACTCTTCTGGAACGAACTAAGTAATTACAATGCTCTAGGAATCCCATAACGGCCCAGGTCTGAAGGATCTAATTACTTAGCAACCAGAAATCATGATTCAATTACTTAGCAACCAGAAATCATGATTCAATTACTTAACAACGCGAAATCATGATTCGCGAGGCATTACCTGAAGGTTGTTCATAGATTACACTACACTACTACACTACACTAATTTGTTCATTAGTTCATAGATATGTAGATATCAGGTCTAAACAAAGCGTGACTTTTTAAAACACTGCTATCAGGCCTTTGATAGGCTGCGATTTCTCTCCTATCAGACCCGAATGTTTGGAAAAATATATTCTTACCAAGAGAGATGAGGATACCTTAGTCTAGTTCATCTTCATCCTTATTGTATGCTAATTTGACTGCCAAATCTGTGTCACGATGATGGGTTATATTTGAGTGAGATGACATCCCATAAAATAGGGTTCAGAATCCCTTATGTATGTGCATCAAACAGGTTACCTATAATTGTTATTATGAGGTTCTAGCTGTCAATCTTGAAGTTTTCAATTGCTTGAAAAGGATACTTTGAATCTACAAAAATTACTCACTCTCCGGTTTTCCTAGTGTACTGGTAGACAGTAGTGTAGCTAGTTCTGTTTGTGTAGAGTACAGCAATTAGTACCTCATATATTTTTCAAGTGGACAACTCTACGTGAAACATACCTACAAATTCAACTATCTCATGACGTAGATTGAGCGTCGACCAACAATTAGAAGAGTCAAAAGAAAGGAGTCGTTATAACTATATTATTCCTAATACACCCTACTACTATATATTTTTTATATAATATTCCCAAGCTGCTTTGTTCAAAACATAAGCTATTTCTTCAAGCTTTTTAAATATTCATTTAATGTTCTTCAACACAGAGGCTGACTGAGAGGACCTGAAAATATTACACAATGTCTGCCATATCATGCAAGCAATCTAGACCTGAAAATAATAAGACCCAAGTACGGACATCAGTTGAGCTAATGTAAATAGTGTCAATCATATTTTCTCATGTGCGTCGAATGAATTAGGAGAGAGAAACAGTGTGGGCTTACATTTACCAATATTGGATGGAATACATGGGAATTTGATCATAACTGGTCCAGGAGAGAGTAATCATATCCTGATTCATGAATCATGTCCTGGAACATGAAGTGTGAGAAATGTAGTGTCAAGCTGACGATGAGTCACAATAATGTAGCTGGAGATATCATGAATAGAAATTGAAGAAAGAGGTGAAGAAGGTGAGAAGAAATATGACAGAGGAATTCGCGAAGAAGAGGAGATACTGGGAAGACAGAGAGTATACCCGAGTGCGTTTTAGTAAGTGTGTGTATTCTCCTAGTTGTGCTTGCGGGGGATGAGCTCTGCTCCTTCGGCCCGCCTCTCAACTGTCAATCAACTATTACTAACTACTATTTTTTCCCCCACACCACACACACACACACACACACACCAGGAAGCAGCCCGTGACAGCTGACTAACTCCCGGGTATCTATTTACTGCTAGGTAACAGGTGCATTAAGGTGAAAGAAACTCTGCCCATTGTTTCTCGCCGGCGCCCGGAATCGAACATGGGACGTGTGTGTGTGCGATCGAACGACTGTGGGACATGGGAAGATGTTTAGAGGGGAAACGAACTATGGTTCATAATTTCACTTCATATTCTTCATTATTACACATAAACCAGTTGAAAGCAGCTTCAACACCTGGCTGGGAAGCTCATAACAAGACGCAAGCTAATGAAGCCCAACTCGGCATTGACCTCAAGGCGAATAAGCATCACAAAAACTTCCTGACCAAACACCAAAAATAATTCCAAATTATTTTAAATTTGAATATCTTATTTTAGTCGTAGTTGAAAACTAGTCGTAGTAGTAGTAGTAGTAGACAACCATCAGTCTCAGGAGACTATGGAGTTGCGCTCTAGTTGTCGGTCAGGAGTGGCTTCTCCAAGGCGCACAGCTCAGGTTTGGCTGATACGGGGAAGAAGCTGTTACCCAAGCAGCAGGTTCCTCTCTCCACTGCGCCGAAAGTCTCCAATGGAAAGGCAAACGCCAATACGATTTTTTCTAGTGCCGTCGCAGGAACTATCAGAACGAGGATGAAGACAAGGATGCAAGAAGGAACGAGGATGAAGACAAGGATGCAAGAAGGAACGAGGATGAAGACAAGGATGCAAGAAGGAACGAGGATGAAGACAAGGATGCAAGAAGGAACGAGGATGTAGACAAGGATGCAAGAAGGAACGAGGATGAAGACAAGGATGCAAGAAGGAACGAGGATGAAGACAAGGATGCAAGAAGGAACGAGGATGAAGACAAGGATGCAAGAAGGAACGAGGATGAAGACAAGGATGCAAGAAGGAACGAGGATGAAGACAAGGATGCAAGAAGGAACGAGGATGAAGACAAGGATGCAAGAAGGAACGAGGATGAAGACAAGGATGCAAGAAGAAACGAGGATGAAGACAAGGATGCAAGCAGGAACGAGGATGAAGACAAGGATGCAAGAAGGAACGAGGATGAAGACAAGGATGCAAGCAGGAACGAGGATGAAGACAAGGATGCAAGAAGGAACGAGGATGAAGACAAGGATGAAAGAAGGAACGAGGATGAAGACAAGGATGCAAGCAGGAACGAGGATGAAGACAAGGATGCAAGAAGGAACGAGGATGAAGACAAGGATGCAAGAAGGAACGAGGATGAAGACAAGGATGCAAGAAGGAACGAGGATGAAGACAAGGATGCAAGAAGGAACGAGGATGAAGACAAGGATGCAAGAAGGAACGAGGATGAAGACAAGGATGCAAGAAGGAACGAGGATGAAGACAAGGATGCAAGAAGGAACGAGGATGAAGACAAGGATGCAAGAAGGAACGAGGATGAAGACAAGGATGCAAGAAGGAACGAGGATGAAGACAAGGATGCAAGAAGGAACGAGGATGCCAGCTTCCTTCATGACCCAGCAGATGGAAGGGTAATAATAATTTACTTATTATAATACTATGGAGAACAAGTTTATTTAAAACTGTCTGTGCTAATCTTCCAATGATTTAATTTCGCGTGTAACGTCCAATAATTTAATAGTGTATCCTGGGAAGTAAATCTTAACACACACACACTCACACACACACACACACACACACACACACACACACACACACACACACACACACACCTATTAGGTGAGTATACTCACCTAATGCACACTAATGTATACACACCTAATGGTGAGGTGAGTATACACATACCTTACCACTCAGAGAGGTGTGTGTACTCACCTACATACCTATTAAGTGAGTAGGTGAGTACACACACACACACACACACACACACACACACACACACACACACACACACACACACACACTCACACACACACACACACACACACACACACACACACACTCTTCAGCAAACCATATTGTGATTTCCTCTCGCCTGCCCATGACATTTTCCAGTTATCCCCGACTGCATAGTCGCGTCACACAATTTCCGCTGCTAGACACCAGCACACATTCTCACTCCCGCCATCCCGCTCTTATGACCAGACTTCTACAGGATATTGAACCGAATATTTTTGCATAATGCATTCTTCGATACTCCGCTCTGCATACAGATGGATTTTTTTTGGCTTCGTCTCTCCCGTACCACTTCCAGCTTCACCTCCTAAAAAAATAATTGAAAATTTTAGCCTATATTTTTGTCCCCTTGGCATATGAAAGGGAGCTATTGAGCTACGAATTCTTTACGACATGGCCGACTTTGATCAGCTTTCATAAATCTTAATGTGTTGATCTTGAACTTTGCTGTGAGAGTATTGACCTTTAACTTGTTTAATAACATAGTCACTCTTAATTTAAATTTGTATTGTTAGAGAGTGTGTTCGTATTTGTCTACCCTTCCTGTCCAAAGTTGAAGGCCAGACTCTTGGGTCTTCCTCCATCCAAATTTGCAGAGGAATGGTCTGGGGTATAGGACGAACATAGGCATATCCCGACCAGTCTAAGTTAAATTCTTGATGAGATATTTAAAATGATAAACGCCCTTATGTAATTTTTATCGAGTCATGTATGAAATATTGCAGGTGATTAGCGTGGAGCTAATAATCTCAAAATAATAAAATTTCATTAATCTGTAAAAGTTGTTTTAGTGCTTCTGAATAATATGTTTTTCACGAGAAGGGGGAGAGGTGGGGGGGGGGGATAGCAGTGTGGAAGCAGAGGGGGAAAACCCGGGTGAGGGTTCGAATGGGAAGAACGTGAGAGAGGAAGAGTGGGAGGGTAAGAAGAGGGAGGAAGGAGGCGGAAAAATTGATAGAAATAGATGGAAATATGGATAGATAAGTGGACAGGTAATTGTATAGAGAGATAGATGGATAATAAGATACATAGTTGTATGTAAAGATCGATGAATAGATGATGTATTGATGGAAGGATAAATGGATGAATAGATAGATAAATCGACAGGTAGGTGGATAGATGGGAGAAACTGAGAGACCGACTCAGGCAATGCCTGGTAACCCGCCGCCCAACCATCATGGAACATCTTTAAACACAAATGTTTCTATGTTTGTCTCTCTCGTTCGAGGCGGCTGGAAGCAAGATACTTACGTCTTCCATAACCTATTTTTTCACAATATTTTCAGTTATGAACGTACTCAACATTGAACGTACTTTCATATACACCAAACATAAGATTACCGCGGGACACTATGACAAACTGACCCCCACACACACACACGAAATTTCTGGATATAATTGACTCTACTGTGAACTGTAATCATTATTATTTATTTTATCTATTTTTTTATTTGATTTATATAACGAAATGTTTGTTCCGTATGATATCAAAATGAACAAAATTCTACCTATCATAATTTAACCATAATTGACAAGTCTATTAACTAGTCGCCTCATGCGACAAAAATAATCAGGCCAGTGACACCACATCTATCAGTTATACTACTAAAGGTAAATAGACACATTCAGAGAGAGAAATAGAGATACAGACATTCAGAGAGAGAAATAGAGATACAGTCACAATGAGACATATATAAAAGTCGACAGAAGGAGAGACCGAATTAGAGACAAAAAACTCAGGAAGGGGGAGAAAGAGATACAAAGGTAGAAAGACAAAAGGAACATATACAGATAGATAGGCAGACTACCGATAGGCAGGGAAACAATACAGAGAGAGAATGTGGGAAGAAGCAAGAGGGGGAAAGAGAGAGAGAGAAAGAGAGAGAGAGAGAGAGAGAGAGAGAGAGAGAGAGAGAGAGAGAGAGAGAGAGAGAGAGAGAGAGAGAGAGAGAGAGAGAGAGAGAGAGAGAGAGAGAGAGAGAGAGAGAGAGAGAGAGAGAGAGAAAAGAACGTAATAATGTGAAAAACAGATAGCAACAGAAAGATAAACAGAAACAAGAAGATAGAAAAACACAGACACACACACAGAGAAGGAAGGGAAATATCAGGAGAAAGCGCCAAGCCATTAGACTATATAACACTGGGAAGGGGTCTGGATACGGATATGGGATGGGACGGTCGGAGGGAATGGTGCCCATCCACTTGAACGGTCGGGGATTGAACACTAACCTGCATGAATCGAGACCGTCGCTCTACCGTCCAGTCCTAATGGTTGGGCACAAACGCACACACACACACACACACACACACACACACACACACACACACACACACACACACAGACACACACACAGAAATATGAGTTGCTTGGCAAGACCCAGACACCACTAGATATTCCACCAAATCAATATCTGTAAATTGAAATGTCTCTCTTTCAGACTGTCTTTCTGACTGTCTGTCTGTTTATCCATGTACTAAGCCTCACATGTCTAAATTCTACTCTGTCTGCAGGTCACAAATATTGTCATCCAAAGCCATGGCTAATTTAGACAATTATATAACCCCCCCCCACCCCATCCCCCCAACCACCCTCCCCCCCCCCCCAATAAAAGGAAAAAAAGCTACAGCTTTCATTGTTTTCTCATCGGCCAGCAGAGTCGAGAATTTAATTTTACAAAACTTACTATCCAGCAGCAGCATAAAAGAAAAGGTTATTGCTCTTCGATAAGAATGTTTGTAATTGGGATTTAAAAAAAAATACCTGCCCTTTTAGAAGCATAACAGAAAATGCAAAATAAATTGAATAATCTCTGACATAACGGAAAGTACTCTTGCCTTCAAAGACACCGGGTGTTCTTGGGTGTTCTTGGGAGTTGATGTACTGCTGACTTGCTCTAATCGTTGGCTGAAACCATTTTAAGGAAACCAGTTCTTGGATATTATGAGGCGACCATAGATGGCAAGTTGACCAGACCACACACTAGAAGGTGAAGGGACGACGACGTTTCGGTCCGTCCTGGACCATTCTCAAGTCGAATCGACTTGAGAATGGTCCAGGACGGACCGAAACGTCGTCGTCCCTTCACCTTCTCGTGTGGGGTCTGGTCAACATACTTTAGCCACGTTATTGTGACTCATCGCCTCCACACATGGCAGTAACTCAGAAGCCTGCTTCAAAGGATTGTGGACTCCTGTAACGACATTGTGTGAACTCACCCAGTGAGGTCACTTAATATAAAACAATTTATTTTTGATTGGAAGAAAAAGAAAAAAAGTTCTAAGGATAAACCGATAATCGCTTTTTTTCCAAACATCAAAACTTAGCAAAAAGCCATGGAACGAGCTTGTCCGTCTTGAAGTAACGAGCTATACTCACAAGCGTCCCGGTTCAAGTTATAATCCTCGGTTCTTGCAATTACAATTATCAGTGTCATCAATAGCGCATCCACGCCGGTGGCTGAGTGAACAGCACGCTGCACACGTAATCCTGTGGTTCGGGGTTCAGTTTTCGGCGCCGGCGAGAAACAATGGGCAGAGTTTCTTTCACCCGGATGTGCCTGTTACCTAGCAGTAAATAGGTACCTGGAAGTTAGACAGCTGTTATGGGCTGCTTCCTGTGTGTGTGTGTGTGTGTGTGTGTGTGTGTGTGTGTGTGTGTGTGTGTGTGTGTGTGTGTGTGTGTGTGTGTGTGTGTGTACTCACCTAGTTGTGCTTGCGGGGGTTGAGCTTTAGCTCTTTGGTCCCGCCTCTCAACCGTCAATCAACTGGTGTACAGATTCCTGTGTGTGTGTGTGTGTGTTTGTGTGTGTGTGTGTGTGTGTGTGTGTGTGTGTGTGTGTGTGTGTGTGTGTGTGTGTGTGTGTGTGTGTGTGTGTGTGTGTGTGTGTGTGTGTGTGTGTGAAAAATACTTGTTAGTAACAGGTGATTGATTGACAGTTGAGAGGCGGGCCGAAAGAGCAGAGCTCAACCCCCGCACGCATAACTAAGTGAATACAACTAGGTGAATACTCTGGGTACTTGAGACTCGGCTACTTAACGACACTTAAACACTAATTGCCGTGAGTGTTTCAATCATTATTTTTCCATTCGCCGTTCGAGACATCTTAAGGAATATTAAATACTTAGACATCTAACAGTTATCACTCAAATGCAGAGCGTTCCAGAATTTGGAAAACTTGCATTCACATTGAATGCAATTTACTTAAGGAATCACGTGAAAACACATGTTTTTCAGTAGGATCTAATAATTATAGGTTTCAGTAGGTGAGGTTATGGTAGGGTAGGTGAGGTTTATGTATAGCTGGTTAAGATTGGATAGGCTAGTAGAGGTTAGGTCACGATAGGCTAGATTTTCAAAAGGCTGGGCTAGATTGGGGAAGATTAGATCAGTTAATGGAGGTTTGCTACAGCATTCTTCTCTCTGGACAGAAAGACATGTCAAAGTTGAGTGAATAACATGAACACGAAAGCAAGCCATGGAAAGGTCCACATCACCCCACAAGAAACCATGGAAAGGTCCACATCACCCCACAAGAAACCATGGATAGGTCAACATCACCCCCACAAGAAACCATGGAAAGGTCAACAACCTCTCATTACAATATCACCGGACAAG